TAGTTTTATAATAAAGGGTATTTCTTCTGGGTTCAGACTGTTCCTCTGTCATTGAAGTGTGCTGCTGCTGGTGCCGCTGACCCCATGGAATGCTGTCAAAAGCCAGGTGTTCTCCATCCCCTTGGCTCACTTCTCCTTGGCAACGTTGCGCTGGGTTTCCACCTTCCTTTGCTAACCTGGACCTTTATGTTTGTTGGGTAGGGAATCCTCTGACTTCACCCCTGGGGTTCTTAGATATTGGCATCCTTTTCTCTACTTTAGGCATTCTGCAGAGTTAAGAGCTGAGCTGCATTAGCTGTTTGCCACATAACCTATTATGTACATATCAATATTCTTAAAAACAATGAATGCTGATTATCTAAAATGTTAGATTTTGACTATTAGATTTCATAATGGCTAAATTTATGAGTGTTCTTAACATAGATAATTAACTGCTTATGTTGCTCCTTTTAAGTTTTTGCTTTCTAGTGTCATTTTGGCACAGTCTTAATATTGGTTGGTAATTATTGATATTGGTTGGTTATTCTTAATATTTTTCTGTTGCTATTTCAAAAATTGAAAACATGGGCAGGGTAAGGTGAGAGATAAAACCACCAGCAATCACCCAAATTCTGCTGGGTAACTTCTAATTTTTAAAAACTAAAGAAATATATGCATATGAATATCAAAAAAGTAAAGTACTGACAGGTTTATAGCAAAACATAGTGTTTCTCTCACTACTGGCCACAGTCCCCTGCCATAGGGGACACTACTTGCTTTTCTTACAGCTTTTTATGCTATTTATACATTTCCATATTTTAAATAACATGGAAATATTCAGTTAATCAGTATTAGACATCATCTATTCTAATCCTGTTCTGGTAAATTATATAATATGTAGCTTTCTTATGCCACTGTTTTCTTCCCTTCCTAATCTCCCATTTTTCCACTTTTTTTGGTAGTAAAATGCACATAATATAGAATTTACTATAATAACCATTTTTGAATGTTCATTGGTATTGAAAGATGTGCATTGTTGTGCAACGCTTGCTACCACCCATCCCAATAATTCTTCATCTTGCAGAACTGCAACTCTGTCCATTAAAGAGTCCTCCCCCACTACCAACTCCTGGCATCCATCATTATAGTTTCTGTCTTTATTTATTTATTTATTTATTTATTTATTTATTTATCTATTTATCTATTTATTTATTTATTTATTTATACAAGCACGGGGTACTGTCAGAAGCGCAGGAAGGTGAGAGAAATCACCAGAGCCAGAGCAGGGAATAGAACAGACAGACTGATGAAGTACACTGCTGAGGGGAGCAGCGGGCGGCAGGAGAGGTCTGTGCGCCATTTGGGACCCTCGCCAGTGGCCGGGGATCGAACCGGTGCTGCAGAGGCTGCGGGCAGCTTCGCAGCCTAGCGCTCAACCACTGTGCCAGCAGGGGAGGCCCAGTTTCTGTCTTTATGATTCTGTCTACTCTAAGTCCTCATATAAATGGAATCATACAGTGTCTTTTTGTTACTGGCTCATTTCAGAATTCCTTTCCTCTTCAAGGCTGTGTAATATTCCACTGTATATATATGTGCATTTTTTAATATGTTCATCTGTAAATGGGCACTTCTGTTGCCTCCCAATTTCAGCTATTGTGAATAATACTGCTTGAACTTGGGTGTACAGAGATCTCTTTGAGACCCTGCTTTCAGTTCTTTTGTATACAACCCAGAAGTGAAATTGCTGGATCATGATAATTTAATTATTTAGGATTGCCAGGCTATTTTCCACAGTGACTTTAACATGTGATCATTGCATTTTTAGATATGCAGATATTCAGTGTTGCCATTATTATGTCACTCTAAACATCATTGAGAGCTAAGCTCTGAGTTTACTGTAATTTTGTTTTACCTGAAATTAATAATTGTCTTGTTTTAATAGGCTTAGGTTTCTTTGCACCTATTAGTCATTCATCCTGCCTTTTCCAATGACCTGACAATATAATTTCCTATACATTCAATCACTTTAAGCAGTTTATCACTTCTAATATATTTTCATGGATACATCTATTTTGGAGATATGCTTTCCAGGTCTTCAGCATAGCTGTCATCCTGGGTATTTTTCTGTGCTTGCATCCTAATTTCTGGGATATCATGTTTTTGTTTTGATCCTCTCTTGGGTTATTTGCTTGTTTTATCAGATTGTGTCCTTTATTAGTTTTGTTAAGACCAGAAAACATGGCAGTTGGAATGGGGATGATGATCTGGATTCATGAGCCTCTTTAATTAGATTTCCTTTCACCATTAATATGAGAGCCTGTTTGCTTCTCCCTGTGTTGGTTCACTTGTTGTTGTGCTTCTCATAGCTGCTTCTTTCTTAGCTTACAAACTGAGTTATGTGTAAGACATCTCTCAGTAGCTTCTGGAAAAACAGTGTTTGGGAGATGATTATAAAAATCTATTATAAATAGAAAACCATTATTCTACAAATGCTTACTGTAGTGTAATAATAACATAGAGACACAAAAGACCACTTCTGTGTGTAGTGGGTTTAAAGAATAGGTGGACAGACAAGAAATCTTAATGATAAGATCACAACCCAAAGACTTTCCCAGGATGCATCTGATTAATTTCTGTGTTAAGAAAAGTACTGGCCTTTCATGACTTGAAATCAGAGAAGCTAATTGGACTGGGATGTACTATAGAAGGTAGTCCTTAACCCTTCAAGATGGGTAAGATTTTAAGTAGTGGAGAAGATGGTAAAAACATTTAAGGGGTTATAAAATTTTTAAGTGGACATGGTACTAACAATATTCTAGAAAAAAGGAGCATACCACTTTAGCTTGAGTAGGGTATTGGAGAAAATTCGGGGATAAAACTGGAAAAGAAAATTAATGGTAGATTGTGGAGGACTTTGAGTTGCAGGCTAGCAATCTGATAAGCAGTCAAACACTGTTAGAAGGTTTTTAGTAAGCAAATACTGAGATAAGGTTGATGACATAACAGAATGTCATAAATGGAATTGTAATATATAGCTTTTGTGTTTTCTCTCACATAGTAGAATGCATTTGAGATTTCTTCTATGTTGTTGCATGAATCAGTAATTTATTTTTATTGCTAAATGGTATTCCATTATGGGCATGTACCACGCTTTATCTGGCTATTATACATGAAGCTGTTTTAGACATTTGCCTGTGGATTTTGCATGGACCTATGTTTTCAGTTCTTGTGTTTAAATACTTAGAATTATGATTGCACAATTTTATATTAAGTGCATGGTTACCTTTATAAAAAAATGACCAAACTGTTTTTCAAAATGGCTGTACTGTTTTGGACTCTTACTTGCAATGTATGGGAGTTGCAGTTACTCTACAGTCTTATCAGCACTTGGTATAGTCATTTTCACAGTCATTCTTATTTGTATTGACATAGCAGTGTGGCTTGAATTTACATTTCTCTGATGATTAATGATACTGAGCATCTTTACACGTGCTTACTTGCCATCCATCTATTTTCTATGATGTGTATTTAAATCTTTTACCCATTTTTGAGAATATGCTTATTAGTGTATAAAAATATTTGTTGTAAATTTAAAAACATGCAGGAAAATGCAGATAGGAAAATAAACCACCTTAAATCCTAGTGTCCAGAAATAACTCTTTTAATATTAACATTCCAGCTATTTCACCTTCTATCTATATATACAGGTAGAAAGAAAGGAGGCTGGATGGTAAACAGTAGGAGAGTGGATGGGCAGAAAAAATATATAAATGAGATACTGTTATACATGCTGAATTTAAAAATTGTGATAAAGTTCATACATTATAAAAATTATTCTTTTGAAGTGTACAACTTTGTGATTTTTAGTTTATTCACCATGCTGTGCAACTCTTACCATACTCCTATTTTCAGAATATTTTATCACTCAGTCCCCAAAAGATACCTGGGATCCATTAGCAGTTAGTCTCCGGTCACCTTCTAGTCCAGTCTTCGAGCCTAAGCAACACCTAATCTACTTTCTCTATGGATTGACTTCTTTTGGGTATTTCTTATAAATGGAATCACATAATGTATTCTTTTGGGACTGGCTTCTTTCACTTGGTGAAATGTTTCCAGGTTTCATCATGCCGTAGCATGAATCTATTCTTCATTCCTTTTTAACAACTAAATAATATTTCATGTGCGGGTGTACTACATTTTGTTTATCAGTTATTCTCTCAGTTGATGAACATATGTGTTGATTCTACTTTTCTGACTATTATAACCAATGATGCTATAAACAAATAACATCTTTGTGTAAGCATATATTTTCAGTTCTCTAGGGTTTAAATAGTGAAATTTTTGGCACCCAGGAGTGAAATTGTTGGTACCCATGTTTTAAAATAAGTTTGTTTTCTTATTATGAAGTTTTGAGGTGCATTGTTTTAAAATTGTAATTTATAGCTGTTGTATCTCTTAAATCCTGCATCTTCAGGATAGCCTTTTAATTTTGGTGTAGATTTAATGAAGGATTTATGTAAACTTGATTATGCAATGTTTTCCACATATTAAATTAGCAGAAAAACAATATGTATCAATCTCAATTGCTTAAAAATATGTAAAGTAGGCCTGTCCGATTATTTTTCATAATCTTTCTTCTAATTCATTCAGTCCTTGTACAAGTATTTAATGCCATTGTGTTTTGAGTGTCAGTCATTACACTAAGTTACTGAAATAACATATAAAGGATACCTGGTAATTGTATACAAGTTGTATACAGTTATATACAAGTTGTATTCTTTAGGGTGTGGATATGATTTTGTTCATATCCATGTGTCTCTTCCTGTCCCTCTTCTCACAATTCATGACTCCTCCACTGAAGATCCTTCAAGATGCACATATAAATAAAGCTTCAGTTGTGTTCGGTGCTTGAATAGCGAAGGGTTCCTTTGGGGCTGGCTGTTAATTGTATCTGCAGGGCGTGTGTGATGTGGACTGTCACACTGTGAGGGATGTTCATGCCTGTTATGCTGTTTTTGCAGCATTGCTGACAGACAGAGTGCCCTGGAGGCTGAGCTGAGGACGGTACAGGCCTCCCGCAGGGACCTGGAGAACTTCCTAAAGTGGATACAAGAAGCTGAAGCCACGGTTAATGTGCTGGCGGATGCCTCTCAGCGGGAGGATGCGCTCCAGGACTCCCCCCTGGCCAGGGAGCTCACCCAGCAGATGCAGGCAAGTGCCCAAAATCACATTAGTGTTTTTATTGAGTTGTGCTCTTTTGATCTATCTACATGCAAATTTATTACCATTAAAAGGGGAAGTTGTCAGCTTTTCTGTATCTGAAATATCCACGCTCCTCTGTGAATAATTGGTTTCTGGAAATGAGATCTGTAAAATACTTTTTACTTAATAGAAGGAAAACACCTTGTTTTAAGGCAGAAAAAGTGTTTATTTAGACTTACAGGCTCATCGCTACTCTGTTTTCTGTCATTTTAAACACTATTGTAGAGATGTTTCCTCTTGGTATGAGGTTGTTTCTTTCCTATTTATTATAAATACTTAGTTTAAAAGCACAAAGCTTTTATAGCGTAGTTTACAACTAAGCATTAAGGTTGAAGGTATAATTTTTGTAGCTTTAGCTTGATCACTGTGATTGATATGCAATCTGAGTTAATTTTTCTTTTACACAAAATGAAATAATACAAAATTTTTCTTTAGAAAATATATGAGGAATCTTATGAAGCCTGTCTGAATCTTTTCTTTCGGGCACCAAGAACAACTGCCTCAGGGACCTTGAGAGAGCGAGAGAGAGAGAGAGAGAGAGAGAGAGAGAGAGAGAGAGAGAGAGAGAGAGAGTGTGTGTGTGTGTGCTTGTAAGTAATCTATTCTTGCTAGCCATGGGCCTACTGACTTAGAATTTGGTTGACCACCTTTTTCATTGGCGAAATCTCCTTGTCTGCCATAGTTTCCATTTTGAGTACTTCCTTTGCCCATGTCATTCTCACACATTTGGATGGTTCTGATGCACTCATGAGCATGTGGTCCACTGACATTTGATGCATGTCTTCTCCTCTCTCAGTCACTCATAAGGTTCTCTAAGCATCTCTATTCCATATTGTTGCCTACACAGTGCTCTGTGGGCACATTCTAAGTAATTTCAAATCCTATTGCCCGCCCCCCAACTCCACCCCTCCGAGCTTCATTTCATTATGATGTTCCGCCTGATCACCTTTTTGATCTTTGGAATTTTTTCCCTTTGAAATATCCAAAGGAGAATTTTGTAATTATGTGGGTCTAGATAAAGGATAGAGAAATTTTCTGAAACTATTCTTATTTTTACATATATACCTCTAAATTCAAAATTGTTTTCACTAAAAAGTTATTTTAAAAAAATTTAAGAGTTATAACTTGTTCCCAAGCATGAAGGCTATTGAGTGTCTTCTGCTTAATTTCTTAAGATTTATTTAACAAAAAATCTGTTTACTTGTATTACCTTTTATTATTCTTTGCCTTATGCAGTTATGACTTGCTAATGGGAGTGATCAGACAAGTATTGAAGTTAAACCTGTCCTTTGTCTCATCCTCTTGAATCTCATGAGTCCACCAGAAAAGTTAATTGATAAAATATTTAGCTATCAGCTCAATTTTAGTCTTATAATGGGGATAAAAGCTAGGATATATTATTTTTTGAAACTTACCCAATGATAAGTTGATGTCAATGCTCATGGATAATTAATTTATGTAATGGTGATAGATTTCACAGATATCTGGGCTGCGCATCTCAGTAGGTGACAGTTTGTGGACAGTGAGCAAAGGAGACTTGAAATGAACCTCGAGGATGTCTGACAGCACAGCACAGGCCTGTCTTAGAGTTTAATCATGTCTTGCAATACATTTTATCTTGGGATGTCTCCTTACCATAACAAAATGCTTCCCAATAGTCAGTGAATATTAAAACAGTGGAAGAAATAATTGTGAAGATGTTTAAAATATTTCTAGATAAAGATAACTAAGCAGGAGGGGCCTCCCTGGTGGCGCGGAGTGTTGAGACGCTGCCTATGAAGCTATCCGCAGCCACTGCAGCACAAGTTCAATCCCCACCCAGGGAGATACCCACATGGCACAGCAGACCTCTCCTGGCTTGCCCGCTGCTCCCCTCAGCAGTGTGTTTCAGTCAATCTGCCTGTTCTGTTCCCACGCTGTCCCTAGTGAATCCTCTCACCCCCACACCTCTGGCCTCTACCCCGGTTCTTGTATACATAAATAAATAAATCTTTAAAAAAAAAAAAACTAAGCAGGAGATTACTTATCTTTCTTCCGCCAGTATGGAGAAAGTTTGCAGACTAAATTGCCACATGATAGCATGGATAGCAAGTGCTTCTTAAAAACAATTTAATGTTAAAATTGTCAGTTGTGGCTCATTTATTGAGAAATCATTAAAATCTGGGGCCTCCCTGGTGGTGCAGCAAGTTGAGTGCTGTGCTGTGAAGCTACCTGCAGCTTCTGCAGTGCGGGTTCGATTCCCGCCCAGCCAGGGAGAAACCCACATGGTGCGGCAGACCTTTCCTGCCTCTCCCACTGCTCCGTCTCTGGTGAATTCTCTCACCCTCCCACACCTCTGGTCTATTCTTGTTTAAATAAATAAATCTTTAAAGAAAAAGAGATCTTTAAAATCTGTATCTAAAGATAAACACATGAATTTGCTTATGTTTAGAATGCATCACTTGATGATTTGTATGATTCTTTACTCCCTTTGAAAACATTCACTCCATCTGCTTAAAAGAATTCCATGGTTTTACGTTTTATGAAGCCAACATTACACTAATACCAAAACCGAACAAGGACAACACAAAAAAGGAAAACTACAGGCCAATCTCCCTAATGAACACTGATGCAAAAATCCTCAATAAAATTTTAGCTATCAGAATCCAACAATGTATCCATAAGATAATTCACCACGACCAAGTTGGATTCATTCCAGGGGCACAAGGATGGTTTAACATCCGAAAATCAATCAACATTATCCAACACATCAACAAAAAGAAATATAAAAACCATATGATAATATCAATAGATGCTGAGAAAGCTTTCGACAAAGTGCAACACCCATTCATGATAAAAGCCCTTGAAATTCTGGGGATACAAGGAACATACCTCAACATCATAAAGGCCATCTATGACAAGCCAACAGCCAGTATCATTCTCAATGGTGAAAAGCTGAAAGCAATTCCATTAAGATCTGGAACAAGACAAGGATGTCCACTCTCACCATTGCTTTTCAATATAATACTGGAAGTCCTAGCCAGGGCAATAAGACAAGAGAAAGACATCCAAGGAATCCAAATAGGAAAAGAAGAAGTCAAACTATCACTATTTGCAGATGATATGATATTATACATAGAGAACCCCAAAAACTCCACAGAAAAGCTAATTCAACTCATCAATCAGTTCAGTAAAGTGGCAGGATACAAAATCAACACGCAAAAGTCAGTAGCCTTCCTATACACAAACAATAAATCTGAAGAAGAAGAAATCAAAAAGACCATCCCTTTTGTTATTGAAACAAAAAAAATCAAATATTTGGGAATAAATCTAACAAAAGAGGTAAAGGACCTATACAAAGAAAACTATAAAACACTGTTAAAAGAATAGAAGAAGACACAAAGAAATGGAGAGACATCCCCTGCTCATGGATTGGAAGAATAAACATTATTAAAATGGCCATCCTACCAAAAGCAATATACAGATTCAATGCTATTCCAATCAAAATTTCAATGTCATTCTTCAAAGAAATAGAACAATTATTGATGAAATTCATATGGAATCACCAAAAACCCCGAATAGCCAAAGCTCTCCTGAAAAAAAAAGAAGGGAATGGAGGCATCAGACTCCCAGACTTCAAACTATACTACAAAGCCATAATCATCAAAACTGCATGGTATTGGAACAAGAACAGACATACAGACCAATGGAATCGAATAGAAAATCCAGAAATAAACCCACAGATTTATGGTCAACTAATCTTTGACAAAGGAGCAAAGAATATGCATTGGAGCAAAGAAAGTTTGTTCAATAAATGGTGCTGGGAAAACTGGGTCGCTACATGCAAAAGAATGAAGCTTGACCACTACCTCACACCATACACAAAAATCAACTCAAAATGGATTAAAGAACTAGACATAAGACCTGAAACCATAAAATATATAGAAGGAAATATAGGCGAAACACTACGTGATTTGCACATCAAAGACATCTTTACAGACACATCACCCAAAGCAGTGATAGTGAAGGCAAAGATAAACAGCTGGGACTACATCAAATTAAAGAGCTTTTGCACAGCAAAAGAGACAATAACAAAAACAAAGAGAAACCCCACCAACTGGGAGAAACATTTTTGCACCCAACACTAATGATAAAGGACTGATCACAAAAATCTGCAAAGAGCTGATGAGACTCAACAACAACAAAGAAAATAATCCAGTCAAAAAATGGACAGAAGAGCTTAAAAGAAACTTCTCTGAAGAGGAAATGCAAATGGCCAACAGGCATATGAAAAAATGTTCAACATCACTTGTCATCAGGGAAATGCAAATCAAAACTACCATGAGATACCATCTTACACCAGTGAGAATGGCACATATTAAAAAACTAGCAACAACAAATGTTGGCGAGGGTGTGGAGAAAAAGGAACTCTTCTGCACTGTTGGTGGAGTGCAAACTGGTCCAACCACTGTGGAAAGCTGTATGGAGATTTCTGGACCTACTAAACATAGAGCTTCCATATGATCCAGCAATTCCACTCCTAGGTATTTACCCAAAGGACACAGAAACATCAATTCCAAAGAACACCTGCACCCCTATGTTTATAGCAGCACTGTTTACAATAGCTAAGCTTTGGAAACAACCCAAATGCCCAAAAATAGATGACTGGATCAAGAAGATGTGGTACATATATACCATGGAATATTACTCAGCATTCAAAAAAGATAAACACATGCAATTTGCAGCAACATGGATGGCGCTGGAAGGGATCATGCTCAGCGAAATAAGCCAAAAAGAAAAAGAAAAATACCGGATGGTCTCACTCATAGCAGGAATCTAGAAAACTTAAATAAGGGACCAGGAAAATGAATAACTATAAGAAAGTGAAAATCAAAATCAACAAAAAACTATGAACCAGAGACACTTTTAGGGGGGCGGGGGTGGGAGGGAGGGATTGGGTCAGAATGGGGGGGCTGCAATTGTATGGGGAATATAACAATAAAATTTATTAAAAAAAAAAAAAACAAACAAACAAACAAAAAAACAACTCCACAACAAAAAAAAAAAAAAAAAAAAAAAAAAAAAAAAAAAGAATTCCATGGTTTTATTTCCAATACCCTGTTGGTTTTTGATTAGTGGAAACCCAATACCTTTT